ATGTACTCCATGTTGGTCACAGCCGAGGTGTTCCACGACCCAATGGGTTGATTAAAGCTAAGGGCGTTGTCGAACATGTTTGCCATGTTGGTCACAGCCGAGGTGATCCACGACCCAATGGGCTGATTGAAGCTCTCAGCGTTGTGGAACATGTACTCCATGTTGGTCACAGCCGAAGTGTTCCACGACCCAATGGGCTGATTAAAGGCCAAAGCCTCTGAGAACATGTACCTCATGTTGGTCACTGCCGAGGTGTTCCACGACCCAATGGGCTGATCAAAGCCCTGAGCATCACTGAACATGTACTCCATGTTGGTCACAGCCGCTGTGTTCCATGATCCAATTGGCTGGTTGAAGGTCCGAGCAAAGAAAAACATGTACCTCATGTTGGTCACAGCCAAGGTGTTCCACGACCCAATAGGCTGATTGAAGCTCTGAGCAATCCTGAACATGGCTTCCATGTTGGTCACAGCCGAGGTGTTCCACGAGCTGATGGACTGATTGAAGGTCTGAGCAAAGAAGAACATGTACTCCATGTTGGTCACAGCCGCGGTGTTCCATGATCCAATTGGCTGATTGAAGGTCCGAGCCAAGAAGAACATGTAGCTCATGTTGGTCACAGCCGAGGTGTTCCACGACGAAATGGGTTCATTGAAGTCCGTTTCACCATAAAATAAGCGGCTCATGTCCGTCACTTGAGATACGTCCCAGTCTGTAATGTTGCCGTAGTTTGAGATTAAACGAGGCCTCTCCTGAAGTGCGCAGATACCGCGAGTTGCGTGCGCAAAAAACATGGGGCCTACCATCTGCGGCCCTGGGGTGGATGGGGCCCCAGAAGAACTTTTATTTATTCAGTGGTGGTGGACCTACACCTGGCCAAAAATTCATCCGTGTGATGATTTTTGCAGCATTTTACAGCCATGTCTGCCTTGCAGTCTAAAAGTGATCCTACACGCGTACCAAAACACAGGTTCAGTTTCACTACAGTGATCTTCTGCGTTTTGATTCCTCTTCATTTCCGGTCGCATCAAGTGATCCAACACACGGCAAAACGGCTGCACTTTGGAGATCAGCAACCTTCCACGTGACTTCCAGACTTCCAGGACGGCGAGCCCACGCCAGAAGCCAGACCCAGAAACCAAACTTGGGAGTAGACACAGAGCAGGAACCGTCAGATCAGGGGTGCCAGGCCATAGGCGACCCAACCAAATCTTTCTTGTGGACTGTGAAAACTGGTCTCACCAGAAAAGAGTGGAACTGTGGAACTGCGAAAAACGTGGCTCGTACCATCTCGGGCCAAATGCTCCCCATTGCGTAGGGGTGATCACATCAAAGCCGCCCTAGACTTAAATCTGCTGTCTAGAAGGTTGTGAGTTCCAGGACGGCGAGTTCACGCCAGAAGCCAGACCCAGAAACCAAACTTGGGAACTGTCAGATCAGGGCTCCTAGGTCATAGGCGCCGGAGGTAAATCTTTCTTGTGGACTGTGAAGCTGTGAGATGTGTGACCTGAAGCTGTAGATTGTGTAAGATATGCGCCCCAAAATGGCAAGCTTGCCTCCTGTTGTATGTCTCTGCTCAGTAGACAGCTAATTGCTAAATTATGCCAGGGTCTATCACATCAAACCCACCCCTGGAATTATTTCAGTCCACACTGCAAGCAAG